CAGAATTTAGGAAATAAATTTAACATGTGCACTAGAGGCAGATATGGGAAAGTTGTATGCAATATGCCTTAGGATTTTGATAGGGAGCTAGGACACAGTTTGAAGTCACGTAAGGAGAATGATTCGGTGAATGTGACAAGATATTAGCAATTGCTGTACCTGGGTAAAGACTGTACAGAGTGTTTAGGAACTGTCCTATCAATTTTTCCGTAGGTTTGAAATTCATCAAAATAAAATTTGGGGGAAGCAATTCAAACACCTGTACAAATAAAGTACAGTCATATGTGTGTGTGTGTGAGACCAAGGCATCCAATAAGACCTGAACCTCCACAAGAGATGCGAGGCATCTAAGGCACAGTGTTCACAGAAGCACCTGTGTAACACTGAGTGGTCCCTGAGGTGCCCAGCATCCAACAGCAGCAAATGTTTCTGCACTCTCAACCTGACTGAGGCCAGTGCTTTTGACTCCTAAAGAGAAGCAGCTTAAAGCTAAGGTTCTCCATGACTTCATTTATTCATTTATGTATTTATTCATTTCCGTTCTGTATGTGGATTGAGCCCACTCTAAGGTAAGTAACTACTGTCTGCTACAAGCCTACTCCTGATCAGTATACTTTTGACTTTCAAACCAAGCAATCTTAAGCCAAATTCTGTATGTATTAGGTATGGGAAGACAGGCTAGTTTCTACTAAAATATTTTACTATCCAACCAGATCCTGTTTAATATATTATATTTATCATCACCACCACTAGCAGAAGTAGCAGCATCTATTTGTCTCTTTATTTGCCCAATTCAACTATTCCAGGACAGGGAACTGATATCAATCAGCTTTGTTTCTTTAATAGCCAGGATGGTAGTACATAAAGTATTCAATAGCTTTTTTTTTTTTTTTCCTATGCTGAAGCTTAAACCCAGGGCCTTCACACTGAGCTACATCTCCAGCCTTCTTTTTGAGACAGTCACACTAAGCTAGATTTAAATTTGTGATCCTCCTGCTTCAGCCTCCTAGAGTGCTAGGATTACAGATGTGTACCACTACACCCAGCTGATAAATATTTTTTGAATAAGTAAAACCATAAGTCTACTTGCTCGCTCATAGTCAAAGTTTTGTAGTGGTTTAGAGGAACATAAAACATTTTCCCTAGCTGCCTCACAATAATAGCCAGAATGTACTGGATGTGGATACAATCTGTCTGGTATTTTCTAAACTCTTTCCACATTTAATATTAACTCAATTAAGCTTTACACCTACACTAAGATGAAAGCATTAAGATTCTTCTTTTACAAGTTACCAAAGAGGAGAGATTGAGTACCTCTTCCACTGTCATGGAGGTTCCACTAAGATAAGTCACAATTACTACAGAGAGAAGGGCTCAGGTCTGAACAACATATCCTCAGCTTGCTTTTCACTCATTACTACCTTAGATCTTGACAGCACCAGGGACACTTTCACAAGATGATCCTCAGCTCCCACAACCTAGGCAAGCAAATCAGACTTTGGGGACTTCCTGCTGAATTTCACCTTGTCTAAATACAACCAACTAAAAATAACCTGAAAGGGAAGCATCTTGGAGCTGTTTGAGGAGGTGCAGAATGTTGCAGAGGACATGATATGGAGCAGTGATCCCTGGCTCTGCAAGCACTGCGGATGCTTTTCAGCATCAGCAAGTTGCAGATTGTGATGAGGAAAAAAAAAGTTTCCAATTATTGAAATTCCATAGTGTATTTAATTATGCAATTATCTTATTGTATTAACAAATGCTACAGCAGAGCTGCAATTGCTGAGATTTTTGCAATTTGGAAACACAGAATGTATTCTTTTCCCCAGCTGATTACATCTCAGGAGTCCATCCATTTTTCTGGGATTATGGAAATGATCCTACTTTTGAACTGTTCCATTCAGAAATCTAAAGCTAGCCTGATCCTGACTCTTGCCACTCCAAGTTTTAAGTGTGGCCCCCCAGTACAGACTGAGAATACGTCAGGGGGAAAATGCCTGCAAATTCATATCATTTTTGTTTCCATTAATCACTTTAGGCTCTTTTCCCTTTTGAAATTCAAATAAATAGAGTGTAAATATAAATTCAAAAATCAGTTATACAAATTGCATATTTTCAATGATGCAAACACAAATATACTCTTGTTCATTTGCTTAATAAGGATTTACCCCAAAGGGTTCGTGTATCATACCGTAAAACCCAAAGCACTCCATCAAAACATCTAAAATAGGTATTCTATGATACTTTTATGCATTTCTATTTGCCTCAGTTACTTCAGCAAATATGAAATGCAATCATGCAAAATTAAACATTCCATACATTTTCTATTCACTCTCCAGCACTCCTCTATACTCTGGAATAGGCTATCACACTTTCAAGTTTAAGGGGACAAAAAGTGAATCAGACTTCTTGTTTCTGAAAGCATTACAAGTAATAGGTCTTTTCACTTAGAGCTTTTCATCAAAGAATCACCAGGCTCTTTATACATAAAGCATAATTAATCCATACAGTCAGCTGCACGCTTACCCAATGGGAATCCTCGTTGCTGATGGAGAAGCCATATTTGAATTTTCTCCACCTGATTTGGTTCAGGCTTTTAGAAATGATGTTTCATTTACTTGTGTATGGCTAAGGGGCATGACCATATGTAGGAAAAATTGGACCCGCCTCCCAAAAAAGTGATAGTATAGATCACGGAACCTGGACCCAAAGTGCCTGGTGTTTGACTTTCAGCTTTGTAGCATTTTACTTATGAGATACTGAACATTTTGCTTGGCTTGTCTGTGCTTCAGTTCTTGAAGTGGTAAAGTTAGAATCAAAGTTGCTCCCATCCCACAGGAGAGTTGTGATAAAATGAACTACACATGTAACTCAATTAGAATACAGCCTAAGTAGCATTAAAAGTTATCTTGTCGTACTCAACTATGACACTTGCTACCTTTCTAACTCATTTAACAATTACCTCAGGGTGAAGTAATAGCAGTAGATGCTAATTATTCCCATTCCACAGATGAAGAAAGAAAGATTCAGTAGGGCTGTAGTGATCAAAATCTGAACTCCTAGAACCTAGTATAGTTCCATGGTTCCTCTTTCTATCCAGAATGACAAGACCAGTAGCCCAGACAGGTCTCTTCTTATTTGGTAGGAGAAAAAGGGTCATGTTTCAAAGGCAAAACAGAAAGCAGTCTCCTGCCAAGGCTTGTCTTGCATAGCAAAAGAGATCCCCATAGGCAGGAGACATGACAACAAGGCTGCCTTAATCATGATTTCTGCTAACTATGAAATGAAAGTTAATTTCATGCCTTGCATCCACAGACAAAAAGGTTCAGAGCTGTTTAAATTCTCTTCAGCCCAATGACAGTTAGTAAACAGGAGGCTTCGTGTTCTAATGCTTGAAATCACCCTTCGTATCTCAATATATTATTTATGCACTCAGCTTAAAATAAACAGCAACTCCAAAGTAGGTGAGTGGTCTCATTTAGCATGAACTTTTTTTTTCACTCTGACAGTTACTTTAAAACATTGGTAAACAACCTTAATTCACTTCTAACGAATTAGTAGGCTACTGCTGTGTCTACAGGAGGCGAGCAGATTGTATTATTAACCAAAACAACTTTCTCCCTGTCAGTCATCTGCACCTCGCAGAGGGATGTGGGCTTTGCTGCCTTGTTACTTAAACCAATCCACGAGCACATGTGATTCCAGACGGTTTCTTCTGAGGTCATTCTCTTCCACCTTTGATTAGATCTCTTGGCTCTGAGATGGAGAATGGGGCGTGGAGAAAGTAGATTCTCAGGGCTGCTTATTAAGAAAAATATAGACAAATGAGAACCTTTCCAAAGGACTGAAGACCTTGGAAATCGTGACAAGGAGCTCTCCTGTGGAAGGAACCGAACCAGACAAAAACATCACTGTAAGCAGACCCAAGGGTGCCACCAAATATTTGAAAGGGTGTTGCTTCACAAAAAGAAGGAAGACTATCTCTTTGTAAGTCTGGATGACAAAATTAAGACCCAAGGTCAAGATAAACAGGGCAGATTGAACTTGAAGGCTACACTAACACCAGTCAGATGGAGCCTCTAGAATTGGCCAACAGATATAGATCGTACAGCCCCATGAGTCCCAGAAGTACTCGCTAAAACGGGCTTCAATAAGTTTTTAAACTTTGTTTTGTTAAAGAGTATCATTTTCAAAGGAGAAAATACCATGGGTTGAGCATTGTTTCTACAGCCACACTGCCTGTGGTCACACACACAATTCTAGGACCTTGGTTGGCTCAGCAAAAACAGAAAAATGCAATGGGAAAAATCAAATGAAGCAGTCATTTGAGGATTATACCATCTCTGTTCTGCTCTTTGGCTGTGTGGTTTACAGGTTTACCATTCCATAGAAAAGAGGCAGCTCTCAAGTCACCTGGACTGTAACCCGGTTTAAGAAAGGTGATCCCCAGTTAGCTTTCCATTCAGGCTGACCTCTTTCCCCACCTCAAATCTGGGGACACAATATTTAGCACACAGCCTAGTTGACTTTCATCATTCATTAACACGTTCCTCACCTCACTTAAACATTAGTCTCTCCCTGAAACCAGCCTTTCCTCAGTTTGTCAGGGATACGAGCTTACTGCTCAAAACACAAGTGAAATACAATTCAAAAAGAAAGATAGAGAGGTGAGGAGAGAGAAATCAAAACAGCCAGCATTTACATCTAATGTTTAAATTAACATTTTTACATAATATGCAAACATGTATTCTTCCAAGTTATCTAATAAACATTGCATTTATATATTCATTTACTGCAGAGGAAAATGACTTTTCTACCTATAAGATATTGACAAAACAGTAGTGAGTTCAGAAATACTAAATACCTCAAAGGAAGTCAGGTTATCAATATGTGGGTATGAAATGTGGTGCTACTGAATTCTTGCTATAGCAAGAGCAGACATCTGGTATTTTCATTTTGCAGTAACAGAAAATAACATGACAATAACGTGTTATACTTACAAAGTACCCTTCATCCATGGGGCTCCAATTTTACCAATATTAGTTCACTGATTTTCGCAAAAAACCTGAAAGGCAGAGGGTAAGTGTGTTACCCCCACTTTGCAGATGGGGATATGGAAGTGCAACAGAGGAATCAATTATTAGTTCATTATGGTGAGAATTTCCTAATGGGAGGAGGGTAAAAATTATGATCCATCTTCACCGCCCCCTTCCCCCTGGGGACTATTTTTTCCCACGTAATTTTTATCACAATCTCAGCTTACTAAACACAGTTCACCCACAATAAACCAGTGCTGAATAATAACCCCCCATTTTTTTGAGCCCAGAAACCAATATTCCTTTAATACCAGAGAAAGGGTTGAAAAAAACTTCTCATATTCAGTTTAAAACATAGAGAGAAAATTAGATTGACAAAACACAACCATCCAACAAAATTTGGCCTGAAAATAATGTTACTACTGTTCAGTTTGTTATATACTTATGTTCACATTTCAGCATATGGACTTGTCTTTTAAAAAATATTCCAAGGAAGTCAGAATGCTCCAGAAGTAATCTCACTAACAATATTTTTAGAAGGGTGTATTTTTAACAACCCTTTCTAGGACATCCCACCCTTTCTCCATGCTTGGGCCACTTATTCATGCATTGAAAAATAATCAATATTTAATGTTTTATTACATATGAGTTTATCATTGCACATGGTTTCTTAGAAGACAAAAAATTGTGTATGACACAGGTCACACCATCAAGAAACTTATAATCCTATAGTTAAGTGATTTTAGTACTGTCACAGCCACTCTGATCAAAACCTCTGCAGATAGAGTTGTTGGATTTTGAACATTCATAGTGAGCAACAGATACCTCTCCCAGAAAGATAGCACATTTGAGGAATATTCTCAAAAAGGGTGATTTTGAGCTCCAGTTACAGAGCCTATAAAATATGGGTCTCCTGAAAAATGTTCGCCCTGGAGTCTTCCCCATCCCCACGATTTGAGGGTCACAATCTCCCCATCTCCTCCTTACTCACCTCTGCAGCATGGACCTCCTTAGTCCTCCTCAAATGCCCAAACACATTGCCACCTCTGGACCTTTGTCCCTCCAGCTGTCCCCCTTGCTTGAGACAATGTGCAACCTTGCCACGGCTCACTCTGCCCCTCTCATCAGATCTCTGCTGATATACACAGTCCCTGAGGTCTCCCCTGAGCACCTCAAAACAACCGCAGCCCATCACACTCTTCCTCCTGCCCTGTTTCTTCTTAACACTCACCGTGACCTAACATTAGCGCGTTTGCTCCTCCTCATTAGTTTTGCTGCCCACCCCACTGTGATACATTCCTCATCAAGCAGGAATGTCTGTGTTCCCTGTTAAATCCTAAGGTAAAGGCACACTATAAATATTGACTGAATCAGTGAATCACGGTACAGATCTGGGGTCTCCGCCTTTCTTATGTACATCTTTTTATTCTCTCTGGGATTCTGTTATAATTACTAAGACGTGAATTTCAGTACTGGATAATAACCGGCATGTTTAGCCCCCCAAAAGAGAAATAAAAATTCCATAAACACTCTATGAGATAGTTCTGAAAAGTGTAATAAACCCCAGTTTTTATCGTTTTTCTCTTCTTTTGATTGCTGGAACAGGAGTCGGGTGGCCTGCAGGCCTGCTTACTCTCTGAAGGGAAGCTCTACTGCCCTCACCTCTTGCTCTCCCGGGCCTGTGTTTCCCAATAGTGAAATAAGGCAGCTTACTACATCCAGTTCCAAGGTTGCTTCTGGCCCAGAAACTGTGGCGATCAATGAATAGGTGATAGGCCAAATCGTATCCATCTTTTTACATCTTCTGACTTAATAGCACTTACTAAGCATAAATTTCTCTCAATGGTAGCGAGCTCGCCAGTTCATACTAAGCAAAGTGGGGATGCCACAGAGGAGAACTTAGTAGCCTAAGTCTGTCTAGAAGTGAACCAGCTTTGAAGAACACCACAGACCTCACTGCAAAGCTGTGCTGCCACCCGCACTATCACACCACAGACACACGACAGACATGCGAAGAAAGACGCCGCATCAGGCGGTTACAGCATCTGGAGTCACGGACACATCGCTCAGGTCTCTAAACAGATTTCTTGTTTACTTGCACATTACTAAAACTCACACCTTCGTCAGTCAGGACTTTTTTTTCCCCAAGCATCTGAACATCCAAAGAGATTTAGAAGCAATTAACATTCACGAGTAACAGAGCAATCAACATGGGAATTGCTAATGGGACTGGACAGAATCCAAAAGCAGATATTAGGATAATAGTGCGTCCCTGACATGGGTGATGGTGTTAATTCTGCAGGGCAGAGTCATGGGCTGCTTTCAGTGGCTTTGTGGGGCTGCTGTCACAGTCACAGACACCTGTTCTATATATGACTCCTCACCCCCTACCACAGAAGTGTCTTTTTAACGGCTGTCGAAAAGAAGGCATTTTCGCATCGTTATAACACAACCTCTAGCATTAATGGTATATATTGAAATCGAGTTTATTTTTAAATTGCCTACCTGACAAAAATGCTAAAATGTCATTTTTCCCACTTTGGGTCTCTAGATTATCTATCTTCACCTGTTAGCTTTTATAGCTAGAGGCCACAAAAATAAGAGCTACGAATTTCCACCCAAAACACAGAGTGACGAGCATTCCTATTCCAAGGAGTGCCACGGGGGCCTCTTTCTCATCTTCCTGGCCCGTTTTCATAAAAATCACTCCAGAAATCAGCCCATCAACTCCTGCCCACACCCACCCACACACGCGCGCGCGCCTTTTACTCTAGTGTGAATGTCTCTCGGTAGCAGGGAGGTTCCCACTGTCACGCACTTCTCTAGCCTTCCTTTCACCCTCCCAGCCCAGTTCATCACACACACCAAAGCCGGTCCTCTACTTTTCCTCTGGCTGAACCACATTCTTCAGGCTCATGCCTGGCTTCTCATTTTTCTTCATCCTAAAATGCTAATGGCTCAGCCTCCAGGCCCCTGACCTCCCTGGGCCCACACATGCTGCTGAGTCCTTGCATCTCCCAGGCCACCTGGATTTCCTTGAGACCACGTCATTTGCCCCTGGTGATGGGGCATCTTCTCCATCCATGTCCGCCTGGATTACTTCTGTACTTTACTTCTGACCACAATCTATTGTGGTTTATATTATTCTCTGTGGCCTAAGCAAATAAATGTGTCCCAAGGAGGGGCTTTGAAATTGTCCACTACCCAAACTAGACCCCAGTACGTAATTGGATAAATAACACTTATTCTGATTATATTATATTTCTGGTTATTCTATTTCATCTATGCTTTCTTCCATTCCTTTCTCCTTTTATTTTACTCTTCCTGGTTATTCAAGAGGCCCTTCATTTTTCTGCATAATACAACTGTTTAATTCCTTCTCCCCCTCCCCTCCCCACCCTCAACACACACCCTTTATGAAAGTGCATCCTTTCTAAAGGTTCAGTTTACCCGCTGATTACAGGCAGCTCCACAACCTGCCACCACCAAGCTATGTGTGCTGAAAGCCTGTTTTGACAATGACTTTATACCACACAATCTAAATTAAAGGGATGTTAGCAACAGATCCATGCTTAAGGATCCCTTACTTCCTCTCCGGGGCAAGCGGTTTAATATTCCCAGCAGCCCCAAAGCTCAGAGGTTCTGCCCTACCCACAGCCTCTGGGCTCATGCAGGCTCCGCCCTGCCTCCCCTCCCGCCCATCCCCACCCCCAGAGAGCAGCAGGGAGATTAAAGGGCTTTGGGGCTGTGTAATCCAGCCAGGGCTGGTGTGCTTCAGTCCCTACCAGTCTGGTTGGAAAATATTTGGGCAGAATGTCTTGTAACTACACTGGGCACTCCGTGCTGGGTCCTGTGTCCATTTCAGATGGTTCTGCAGAGTAAGGTGGGCCTGCCCAAGATGTGGGCCTCGCCTGCCTTCCTAAACCACAAGACAGCCAAAGCCCTTCACTCCGAAAGGCAAGGGGTATGTGTGTGTGTAGGGGGGGGGCTGTGCGTGTGAGGAGAAGAACACATGTGCTGTGTGAGTGTGTTGTACGTGTGTTAGTATGTGAGAAAGAAGGTTCATGCACCTGTGTATGTGAGAGTGCCTATGTGATTGTGTGTGAGACACTGTGTGTGAATGTGTGTGCTTGCATATGTGTGAGGGAAAGGGTAAATGTGTATGCATGTATCTATGTGTGAGAGAGAATGTATGTGAGGAGAAAGTGCATGTGTGTGTGTGAGACAGACAGTGTCTGCCTATATGTGTGTGAATGTGGGTGTGAGGAGAAAGACTGCCTGTGTATGTGTGTGAGTGTGTATATATGTGTGAGAGAGTGTGCTGTATGTGACAGGGTGCATGTGTCTGTATGAGAATGAGTGTGTGTGTGTGTGTGTGTGTGTGTGTGTGTGTGAGAGAGAGAGAGAGAGAGAGAACACCAAAAGCAAGCAGGGGTGAATACTGAATAAACACATAGATTCTATTTAACTTCAAAGATTAAGAAAAATCCATTTTTCAATCCTTTGCCCTAAGCAGGGCACCAACCAAAACATCCCACCCGTCTCTGTACTAGCCAGGGCTTTTTCAGGGCTCCTTAACCTTTCCAGGTCCCTTCAGCCAACTGATGAAACTCACAGACCCCTTCCAAGAGCAGCCTAGAAAAGATCGCAGAGATGGATTACGTGGAAATATCTTACTAGTCCAGGTTGAGAAGCCAGTTGTGTAGTTTCAGTAGGTGAAAAGGAAAGCTGCTATTTGGGTCTTTTCTTTAACTCGGGATTTCTGCAGGAAAGAGTTGTACTGTGCCAGTGAGGCAGAGTGGCCATTTGACACACATTCTCCCCTGTCCCTGAAACACGGTAACTGCATCAGCCATGCAGACAGCCTTATACACTGCAAGGGCCCTTCCATATTTGTTACCCTTGAACAGCTAAGAATGTAGACTTCTTTTACTTAGAGCCTTAAGTAGATTCTAACTACTCCTGAGAGAGAAGTAGACGAATAAAGCAAGCAATTTGAGGAGATTGCAAAAAGTACAAGCAATGGTAA